TTGACCCTTTTTCGTGATATGCCCAACTCAAGGGTTAATACCCTTGAGCTAACACGAGGATTTCTTCCAATATATCCCAGTACGCGGTTAATATTTTCTTGTGTTCTTCCAATTCTTTGCCGTTGAAACGTAGGCCGAACACTACCATTGGCTCGTAAGCTTGCCACTAATCGGGGAAACACAAAGACGCCGATTTGGAATCGAGTCGCGTAAACTCTTTTCACCTACCAGCGTGCTACTGTCTCCACACAGATGCTTGTTGAAAGTGAGTACTTTCCGCACATTGGCAGACAAAATCGTATACCTACACTTGCGGAAAAGTATAACTTTCTGCACTTGTTAGATAACTAACTATTTGCTACTGCAGCATTCTGACGACATTTAACATAAACTGCATGCATATCAACAGGTTCATCGTTCGTAAAACGCATTTGGTAAGCACAAAAATTGTTCAAAGTAACGCGAAATTATTGACAATTTGAAGATTATTTTATGTTTTGATTGGATATTGGTTACATTGTTTTCCATGGCCTGCTTCTACTGTCTTTTTCGTATATACCCATAGTAAATATACATTTAGACAAAAAATGTGCTTTTTGTTATTAGCATTACTTACTTACCTTTTAGCGATATTTTGTAATATTTTTAAAAAGGGTGATTTTATTCTGGTGAATAAAAGAGAATTCCAGAAAAATTGGTTTTAAAATTTAAGGGATCTCCGTATAAAATTTTCTTTGGTCTAAATTTTAGGTTAGGAACAAGATATCGAGATGCGGTTTTCGCGAGCTCGTTTAGACATAATTTAGCTGATTTTCTTTTCAATTTTTTTGAAAAAATTGATCATTTCTGTCGAAATGTCGAAAAAAACTCTAGCGGCCAAATGTGAAACTAACAATAAATACTTCAAATATTATAAAATTTGTATCGCAAGAATATCTCCTTTGATCTAGCCCAAGTTTGTTAAAATCGGCTCAGCCGTTTCGAAGATACAGGATGTTTTTTACGGAAACCTTTGAATACCCCCCAACACTTAATTTTTTGAGATACAACAAGATTTGTCAAACAAAAAAGGTTTAGATTACCATCGAATTTGAAGATCAGGTATTTTTTTGTTAAGCTAATATAGCGGGATTCGCAGAAACATTACTTTTTTAGATTCAAGATAGCAGTTACGCCCCCTAGCGGCCATTTCAGAAGCTTGAAAATAATTTCCAGGTTTTTCGTTTGACTGTTTTAGTAAGGAGCTTTTTTCCGCAAGCCTCTACGATGGATAGGTTCACAGATACAGTACCACCCATTCTTTTTGACCATGCTGTATAGACTTATTCATTCAACTTTCTTGGATAATCGGCAGTCGGTTGTACAAAAACTCACGTGGCTTACCATACAGCAAAATGTATTTTTTTTCAACAGAAACATTTGAAGGGGAATATGCCCAGAATACCTTTAATGAAGATTTTCAGTAAAAATCAGGTTGGAAAAAATGGAGTGATTGAAAATAAGGGTGCAAAATTGCTATCCATTTTAGTCCAGCAAAGACATAAATGTCTTGTAACACTGTAAATTTGGTGGCACCCTCAAGACAATATGAATGTGTTCATTATTTAAAAAAATTGTTTTGTTGTTTTATATTTAATTAGAATTAATTTTCTAAAATAATCTTACAATGCAGAACGAACATATGTGTACTGCCATAACATGGTCATCAATTGATTAATTTGAATTTATCAATGGCTCTTGTTATAGGCCTCTTTCAAAGGCAGATTCTGACGTTTCTTGTTAGAATTTGTAACTCAGGGAGGTAGATAAATAATGATGTCTTGCAACTTTCCTTTATTCAGAGTATGAAGGAAATAACAGTATGTCGCACAAGTACGCTAATACTCTGCAAGATATTTGGATGTATTTAACATTGTATGTAGTTAGAAAAATGTTAGGTATGTCCTAGCTGGATTTTCAAACCGTTTGCAAGTCAGCTGACCAGATGCGTCGCTTGGCACTGTTTCAAATTGTCCATAGTTGTCAAAAATTTGATGCCACGATATGCCTATTATACAGGGTGGCCCAATGGAAAGGTCGCATCCCTATTTGTATCTCTTTGGAAAAACGTCAATTTTGATTTCTAGGGGACGTCTTTTCATCTATAGCCATAATATAGGGTGATCCATAAATAGAATATTAGATTTTTAAATGGAACCCCCAATTTTTTGCACTAAAAACTTTTCTTTTCAAATGTCCCAAAGAAATTAATCGAATGGACTTAGGTCCCGAGATTTTGGTGGCCACTCGATGGGTCGTCGTCTTCCGATCCACTGATTCGGGAAATGGCTGTCCAAAAACTGTCGTACTGGTGCGGCGGTGCACCATCTTGTTGGAAATGAATGTAATTTTCATTATAATTGTCAATTCCTACTTTTTCTGTAATTCATGTCTTTACTTTACTACGAGTTACTCCAATATCGACAATTATGTCTATTTACAGCACCATGTAAATAGAACGTACAATCATCCGAGAAACAAATATTAAATAACATATTTGCATTGTTGATTAAACGTTGGGTCATTAATTCGCAAAACTCCAACCTTCTATCAAAATCGTCTTCATTAAGCTTATGGACAAGTTCTATCTTGTACGGCTTAAATTTATTTTTTCAAAATTCTAGTGCGTGTAAATCCTGAAAAAGTAGCCAGTCCACGAGTACTTTGGGTGTTGTAAAGTGCTACGTGTCCCAAAACTGCTATTTCTGCGTCTTCATTTCTAACTGGTCGATTTCCTCGATGGCGATCGCGGCGACTATTAGACACAGATCCAGTTTATTAAAATTTTCTTATCAACTTAGCCACATACTTATCGTTAGTATTTTTGTCTGGATATAACGCATTGAAACAACCGTGCAGTAGCTATTGCAATGCTCCCATTTTGGTAATACAGTTTTGTTATTTCTGCGAGTACCCTTTCTTGAATTGAATAAGTCATTGTTCAATATTTATCACAATAGGTAGGTAACTTAACAATTTGACTGATGCTAAATGTTATTCCTGGTATTAAACTCATATAGCTTCACAGCGATTGAAAATCGGTATAAACTTTATTACACAAAGGTTAATAAAAACGACATGGAAAATCGACAAATTAACAAAAATGGGAGTTTCCATTTAAAAGTGTAACGCGATATCTTGTTTTTTGATCACCCTGTAAAAATATACCAGGAGAGTCAAATGGGGTGGTTACCTTTTCGTTGTGCCTCCCTGTTTTTTTGAAATTATTCTTTAATGTAGTATATGTTTCGCGAAGTTTGTACAATGCTTGAATTTCTAGAAAGTGATCTCCACGTGTTACTAGCGATGTAAAGGGAGTGTAGAGTTACAGGTTGAAGTAAAGTAAGTTTTGTGAGGGTTTGGGCGAAAAACACTTAATAAGTCGAAAAGCATTTCACTTTGAGGATTATCAGTATTGTCATTTGTACTTGAAAAAGACCACCGTGGTGGCCGAAACACCGTCAGTAAACAATATTTCAAGCATACGAGTAAGTGATTTTATTTAGCGATAAACCATGCAGGATTATCATGTACAAAGGGTACTATAAAAGTTTTGCAATATGACTAAACAAACGGACGCAGGAGGTTGCATGTTACTGCATGTTGAGACATGTCCATGAGTGCATAGTAGCCGCCAGGAACACGTCTGTTGATTTAGTTGTTCATTCGTATTTACAGTGTAAAGTGCCTAAGGGCAGTTTTATGGTACTCGTGTTTTAAGCATAGACCAGGTGGTACAAATAATTCCAAAGGGGGCACTTTCACTCTGGAGAACCCTGAGAGGGAAGTAAGGCCGCGAACGTCAGTTACAAGAGAAAAACGTTACTGCGGTGAGGAAAATGCTTGACGAAGACCGGAGAGTGACGTACCAACAGATAGAGGATACCTTGCACCTTCATGCACCAGCAATTCATTCAATTCTGCATGACCATTTACACGTAAGGAAACTTGGTTCTCTCTGGGTACCGCATAGTCTGACGGAAGAGCAGAACACTCGTCGTACGACTTGGTGCCGAAAGATGCTGAAAATGTTTGATAATTGGCATTCTCGGTATGTGAACAGCATCGTGACAGGTGACGAGACTTGGCTCTATTATTACGGTGTGCCGACCAAGGCTCAAGACAAAGTTTGGGTCTTACATGATGAGGACACACCCGTAGCTGTCAGAAAATCTCGATCTGTTAAGAAAAAAATGATAGCTGTATGTTTCAAATCGAGCGGGATTGTGGAGCCTGCCACACAGAAGACAGTTACAGCTAAATGGTTCACGGAACAGTGCCTGCCTAAAGTCATAGAATCTATGAAAAACCAAAGTCAAGAGTGGACACTTGATGCCTTCACCATTACAACTCTCCAGCTCACCGCGCCAAAGCCTGCACCTAGTATTTGACCACTACTGGACTGAAACTTATTGAGCACCCTCTTTACAGTCCAGATCTTGCTCCCTGTGACTTTGCACTGTTTTCTAGTGATGAGGACCTTCTGAGGGCTTGGGACAACGAGTGTGCCGCACTCCCAGGTTTAACTTCCCAGAGCTGGTTTAAGGACTGGTTTTGGCGGACGGAGGAGTGTATTGAATGTGGTGGAAATGACTTTGAACGAAGTCAATAAATAAAGCTATGTTTGCAAAACTTTTATAGTACGCTTTGTATATTACTTACACCCCCTGGGTTTAGTGAAAAGCTGTACACGTTGGTTGTAAGTAGTAAGACAGAGTGTAAAGTAACAAGGAGATTTATTGAAAAGGAGTAAGCAACCTCATTTTAAAAATAAAATTTCACTTAATTATGTTTCATTGCTCCATTCCCGATCCATTAAAAATTCCCTGAATCCCACAGAAGCGAAAAATGAATTTATTCTAAGGTCAAGTGATGACATTATAATTGTGCCACTCAGTCCATGAATTACAAGCAAATTTTGTACAATAACGTTTGTGTTTATTTTGATTCTACTGTTATAGGTATTCATGAGCTGTAACCTCATCACAGGCATGTTTCAACGGTTAGACAAGATGCGTAAACAGGCTTTTGCATCAGTTTGTCTGTTTGGAGAAGATAACAACAGCTCCATATCCGGTATTTGGGTATGGAGAGGCGATGAGTTAGCGTTCAAAGTAAGTAGAAAGATCTATTCAGCACTTTTGACTACATGAACAGAATAATTATATGCAACTGAGACTTAGTAAATTCAAGCCATATGATTCACATGCTGGGCACGCCATAATTGTAGATTTAAGAAGTGATTCCGTAATTCTCCTTTGAATTTTGTCGAAGTATTCTGTTCTTTTATGTCTATTCATTTTATTATTTACCATCAACACTTGATGAAATACAGATTTAGAGCATATATTATTTTTTGAACATTAGATGGAAGTCATCTTTATTTCTGGTAATATGTAAATGGTGGTCTACATTTGATGATGTTAATTTAATTAGACTATATTTCACTTTATAAATAAGTGTCATAACAAAATATTCGATAACGATTTTCATATTCAGCCATTTCAATTTGCTAAGCATTTCTGCCTACAGGGTGACTTTGAAGTTGAGTTATTAATTTTCAGATAATGATTGTAGAAGGAAGATAAACCAAAATATGTGTGTAAAAATAAAAAAAAAATGTTACCTTGTTTTATAAAGTATCCTCCCGACAAGTATTTCAATGCGGACCTGTATTTGATCGTGCGGTCTTGGAGCACCGGCATGCCCTCCCCTGTGAGGTCTTAAGTCACCTGATTCACGAGCCCTTTGTACTACATTAACAAAGGCACGAGGGGTTGGTTGCACTCGATTGGGAAACCGATCCGCATAAATCCGTGATGCCGCGTAAATAAGAATCATGTCCACAAGTTCAGCATTTTCGTAAACATGTGCCATTTTTTATTTCGTTTGAGCCACGCAACAGACACCACTATTCACTCACGCGTTACCGACTGACACTGACTGTATACAACTGAATAAAATAATTGTAAAAACATCGTTCCAAATTCTTTCGCTTTTTTGTTTCCGATGCGATGAACCGATAAGGCGGATTATATCCGTTGTTGCCAAACACGAGCACATAATATTATTATTGAGACAGGGCGGTACTCAAACTTCCAAAGGGCTATAACTTTGTTACTTTAATTTTACCAGAAAAATGGTAAAGGAAAAAACATGTTAAAATAAATGACTCAACTTCGAAGTCACAGTATATATTTATTCAGTATTATTTTCCTCGTTTTGTAAAATTTGCGGTCTTTCAAAAATGGAATTATTAGCTAAATATAGAATAGCCGGACAGTATTAGAAATTTGGAAGAATGATAGTGTTATAGATAATTTTTCTCCTACGAGCCCTGTCTCGGTGAAGTTGGCCCAACTATCAGAACTATGTTTTTTTATGAAATTTGTCATATTAGCGGAAACGTGTTAAAAACTAAAATGTATTTCTGATAGCATACGATACTTTTATTTCATATCAGCCTAAAGTACTACATTTTTTGTAACAAAGCTAAAATATCTTACAAATTAAAAAAAATGCCGATTAATAAATATCAACGAAACCAAATAGCAGCAAATCATCACTGCTTTACATTAGTCTAATCATATTAGCAAATTTCCCAGAAATAATTGTAAAGTCTAGTTTTATTGGTGCAAGTTGTTCAAGCTGGTATTTAAAACATGGAGCCTTAAAAAGGTTACACCAATTTTTGTGGGAAAACTATTTGACAATAAAGAATGAGAAAACGTGTTTTTTGGAATTCAATCGAAAGTGTTGACAGGAACGAAAAAACTTTTCTAAGATTTTAGGTATTTATGAGACCTACAAAATAAGACTACACGTAAAAAGATCCGACTAATAGCAAAAATGTTACGGCCGAAAAATGAGGCAAAATGCAGGTTTTGGCACTTTGTAATTCGACGATAATTTCACGCAACTACTTGAAATTCTTCAAATCCGTAGGATTCATACTGCAAAGGTAAATGTTATTTTTATCTGAAAAACAAAGGTTACTTTTTTTCTTCTAAACAAATTCAAACATTTCGTATTTGTGAGTAATTGATATTTTACGATACGATATTCGAAAAACATACATTACTATACACATTTTAAAACAAAGCGGATGTGTCTATTATCTTCTGTTGCGAATTACTCACAAACACGGAATGTTTGAATTTGTTTGGAAGAAAAACGTAACCCATCCTTTTTTGCATAAACATAACATTTATCCGGAATGGTTTGCGATTCATATCGGCAAGGTAAACTAGTATATTTTGCTATAAAATTCCCTTTGAACTAACCCTGTATATTGGTCAATAAACTAGTAGTAGAGTACTAGACCCAATCTACTCCAATTTTGTTGTTGTTTAGGAGTACGAATTTGAAGAATTTCAAATATCTGCGAGAAACTATCGTCGCATTACCAACGAGTGCCAAAACCTTCAGTTTGCCTCAGTTTTCGGCCATAACTTAGTAAATCCAGAAGAAGTAGCCGGTCCACGAGTGCTTTGCGTGTTGTCAAGTGCTTCGTGTCTCAAAATTGCTATGTCTGAGGCTTTCTAACTGGTCGATTTTCCCGATGGCGGTTACGGCGAATATTGGACACAGACCCAGTTTCTTCAAATTTTCTCATCAACTTAGCCACATACTTATCGTTAGTATTTTTGTCTGGATACAGCGCATTTAACAACCGCAATTCTCCCATTTTGGTAATACATTTTTATTATTGAATAAGTCATTGTTCAATATTTATCACAACTAGTTACGTAACTTAACAATTTGAAATGAAAGACAAAGTTTGTCTATGACATTCGATGACACTGACTGATGCTAAATGATCTTGCTGGTATCCATGATTATTATAATAGCTTCATAGCGATTGAAGATAGGTATAAACTTTACTAAAAACTTATGAAAAATCTAAACATTAAAATAAAATGGAGGTTTTCATTTAAAAATCTAAAACGTAACGCAATATCTTATTTTTGGATCACCTTGATTTGTACGGCTATAGATGAAAAGACGTCCCCCTAGAAATCAAAATTGAAGTGTCCGAGTGTTTTCCCCAAAATATACCAGGAGAGCCACAAATGGGGGGTGCGACCTTTTCATTGGGCCACTCCGTATATGGCGAAGGTATCATACGGGATGCAATGTATCCCTATTTATACTAATCTGCTACGCTCGAGTAGAATTCTGTATTAACCCAGATAACTCATCATTGATTTCCTTATTTACAGTTGAGTCCAGACTGGCAAATCGACTATGAATCCTACGATTGGAAGAAACTAGATCCAAAAAGTGAAGAAACAAAAAAATTAGTAGAGCAGTACTTTTCGTGGACTGGTACAGATAAGCAAGGAAGGAAGTTTAACCAAGGAAAGATCTTTAAATAATCTAATTTATTATTTTGCAATGTTGCTTTACTGCCCTCCATATTACAATTCTATGAGGATAATGTGAATAAACGTGTTTTATGGAGGTACTTTTTTAAAAAATAAATTGTTTCTTAAAATTTCTTTTACACTCTGTTTTCCTTTTGTAAAATATATTATCAATCATAGTTGGATGGTTTCATTGGGATACAATGCTTAGTTTTTGTGAAGAAAGCAGTTTATGTGAGCTGAGTAGTACAGATATTTTTAGTTACTGCCTTTTCATTTGCTAGCATAAGAAAATGCCTCGTGCTCGAAGTCGTCCAAATGATCACCATGTTAGTGACTTTGACAGTGGTAGAATTATTGCCTATCCAGATGTGGTTTGTTCTATCGCCGTCGTGGAGATCGGCGTGTTATTGTATTTGCTGTTGAGAGGCATGTACACACTGCCGTATCTAGAGGGCCGTCCACCTCCAGACGTCCTTTTTCAGCAAGACAACGCACGTCCCCATATTGCTCGTCGTACTACAGACTTTCTTCATGAAGCAGGCGTTCATGTTTTGCCGTGGGCACCTCGTTCACCGGATTTAAATTCCATCAATATGTGGGATATGATGGGGAGGAGACTAACCACTTTGCACCATCCGGCACAGACTCTGCCACAGCTAATCCATGAAATTCGAGTTGCTTGGAATGAGGTGCCACAATCATACATCGATCATCTCATTTTGTTGATGCCTAGACGAACACAGGAGTGTATTCAGCTGTGGGGTCGCCCGATACATTATTAATTTTTTTTCTTATTGTCTATAAAATTTCCTGGGAATGTTGTCGTTTCATTCTTGATGTAAGACTACCCCATTGCCAAAAAATCAATTTGAAGAAATTATTTGTTCTAGGTGTAACACTAGACATCTTTTCTTTCATGTTTATTATGAATTCGAATTATTATCTAAATACACTAATCATGTTTATCAAATTAATACTACTCTGTTTAAAATAAATCTCACGTTTATGTTGTCCATTGAGTAGAACAGACCTGTTCAACTCGAGCACTTGGTGCTGGTGCGCTCCGGTGCCGTTCCCCCTCCACCTCGTCCGCACAGGCGTCGCGACAGAACATATTAGCCGACTGTCTCTCGGGCGCTGGCCATTTCTTAATAGGACAAGACAAAGTGGACAGGTTTTTTAGCGTCTTAACATGCATCTTTTTTAAACGATGTCATTCAATTCTGCATGGAAGAAGCCTATTTTTTGTAAATACTGATGGAAAAGCAAAATGTTTAATTTGTCACACGGTATTGAGGCCAGACCTTCTAAGTTCTGAAGAGGTAATTACTAATTTGGTCTTAGTTGGTTATTATTAATGGTGTCGTAATGCAAGTTATATTGTTTCTTTGAAAATCGCAAAAAGTGGGAAATCGTTTACTGACGGTGCACTTGTCAAAGAACGCTTAGTGGAGTGTGCAGAAATATTATGCCCATCTCATGTGAGCAACTTTGAGACAATTAGTATGTCCGAGACAACAATTTCTCGTCGGATACTTGAACTTGGTGCAGATTTAAAAGAACAACTGCGGGAAACTGTGCCCATTTTGTGCAGTATTCTATAGCTCTCGATGAAAGTAAAGACATTTCTGACACAGCATAATTAGCTGTTTTCGTTAGAGGTGTCGAAATATTCTTTACTATCACCGACGAACTACTAGACGTTATCCCGCTCAAAGATACAATGGCCGGAGAAGATATACTAAGTGACATATAAATCCGAACACCCAGTTTAAATGGTTTTATTTTAATAAAATTTTGTATAAGTACTTAATGAAGCATAATAAGTAAATGATAAAAATTTCAAAATGATTGCACTGCTTTAAAGCCGTTTGACCTTTAATAATGTGTGGATACACTCTCATGTGCTACGCATTCTCCAACGCGCCTAGGCATGCTTCTGATCAGGTGGTCAATGCCCTCCTGTGGTATCTCATTCCAGGCAACCACCAACTCCTCTCGAAGTGCTTCTAGAGTCTGAGGAGGACGTTGCAAATTGAGCAATCTCCTACCCATCATATCCCACACGTGCTCAATTGGGGATAAGTCGGGAGATCTTGGTGGCCATGGTAACAATGTGACATCATTATGTTGAAAGAAGTCTATTGTGACTCTTGCAACATGTGGTCGGGCATTATCTTGTTGGAAAGTTGGATCTGCCAGGGTGTCAAGATAGGGTAAAAGATGGGGTTCTAGAACTTCGTGGATATAACGCTGCGCGTTCATGTTACCTCTGATGAAGATTAAAGGTGACCTGGAACCATAAGCTATAGCACCCCAAACCATAACTCCAACAGTGTGATGAACATGTCTTCCGTGTTCTGCAAACCATTCATTTGCAATGGACCTGGTAGTGGAGAAACGGTCCCTTAAGGCCAATAATCTTAGGCGGCGATCTTCACGGTCTGTTGTTCTACGGCGTCGTACAGTGCCCCTTGCTCTTTGCGTACGGCCTTCTCGAAGCCATGCCTGACAACACCTAACCACAGTGCCTACACTTCTTTGCACTCTAACTGCAATTGCCCGAAAAGAAAATCCAGCTTCCCGAAGTCCCACTATCAAACTCACTAAGTTGACGAAATCGTACAGGTCTCCGTACTCTAGGCATCGTAACCGATCGTAAAGGATATCAAGAACCAAAATCCGCCAACGTTGATTCTTTACTGCGGCTGAAATATTCATTTTTAGAGCGTTAATGAATTAAAAAAAAGCAGTATAAAAACCGGAATGTGCAACTGATAAGGCTGAAAATTTTTTCACTTGTTCTTTACAGTAAGATAAATACATTCACCAACTTTTATTAAAATAAAACCATTTAAACTGGGTGTTCGGATTTATATGTCACTTAGTATATTTTTGATGCTGTAGATGTAGAATGCACAATGAATGACATGGGTATACTACTCAAAAGTTTGCGTAGTGTTGTTACTGATGGAGCGCCAGCAATGTTATCGGAAGCACCAGGTTTTACTGGGCGAATGAAAATAAAAGTACGCGACGCTGGGCTACCTCCGATATCATCGATACACTGCATATTACATCAGGAACAACTATGTGCAAAAACCTTCTGTAATTTCAAATCTATTATGGATGTAGTAATAACATGTCAATTTCTGCAGAAAGCAAGGTCTCAAACACGGCAGTTTGAAGTTTTTTCAAAGACCTGGAAGCAAGTTACGGTGACATACCCTTTGATTGTGTTACACGCTGGTTAAGCTGCGCAAAAGTGCTAAAGACGTTGAGATGTTTATGCAAATGAGATTTTTACGACGCCATCTTCAGTGCTTTTCGAAACAGAACCGCCGCAGTTCCAAATGGAGCTGATTAAGCTTCAATGCGATACGATCCTTAAGGATAGATACTACCACTAAAATAGTAATTTAATTTCGTTTTATCAAGGTGTTAAGCAGCAAGATTTTCCCAAAATTCTTGCACTGGCCTTAGAAACTTGCTCCATGTTCGGTACAACGTACTTCTGCGAGCACATATTAGAAAACTTGTTGAATCGAAACGCTGTCAAAGATCATCTCAAGAATAAATGTGTTTACGTCAAAATTATGCACATTATTTTATCACTCACGCGTTGACTAGATCAGACCAATACGAATGTCACTCCACTCATTTTCCGTTGGGGCTGGGAGCCGGCGAAATTAAACCTTATCGCGGATTCGACTAAACTTAGTAATAATATGTAGTTTTTAAGTAAATGAACAAAAAGGGCTTGGTAAGCCGATGAAAGTACCTGTCATATCGACTTGAAGATACAACGTGACGGTAGGATTTTACCATAACCTAGACGTACATCAACGGTCATGACGTTTCATATTCATTTTGCATATACTTTCAAACATCTAGAAGCCAGGTGTAAAACTGACAGACTCAAATGAGCTTTTAAATGCAAGCATCAAGCATACAAACAGGATGTATTTTTTTATCTATTTGCATTGCCTGCTATATATAGCTTTCAGTCGGTACGACAGAGACTTCTGGCGGAAATCAGTTTGTCATACCATGTTTTTCGAAATGCCAGGTGTAAAACTGACAAACTCAAATGAGCTTTTAAATGCAAGCATGAAGCATACAAACAGGATGTATTTTTTTATCTATTTGCATTGCCTGCTATATATAGCTTTCAGTCGGTACGACAGAAACTTCTGGCGGAAATCAGTTTGTCATACCATGTTTTTCGAAATGAGCCTAAAATTTCCATCAAACCTTGTAGGCTTCATTTAATTCGGTGAGGACGGTGAAATTCTCTTGCCACGTTGTATCTTTAAGTCGGTATGACAGGTACTTCTGGCAGGATGCGTCTTACTGAGCTCTTCTTGTTCATTTACTTAGAAACTACATATTATTACTAAATTTAGTCGAATCCGCGATGAAGGTATACTCAATGCCACCAGCTCCCGGGTCATTTCTATTCGCAGGGTGCTACGGTTAGCACAAGACCTTCCTCGCGATGCGTATGCCGCTGCCTAATCCCTCCCCCACCCCACCTTCACGGAGTCACCCCGCAGCACTGTGATGCGAGATGCGAGCGGTGCTCGGCGCTGCACTGGTGGCACCTGAGATGGAGAGGCCTGGATGGAGTAGAGCTTCTAATTCTCTTCAGGTGGATATAAATTCTTTGTGTTATAAGGCCTGCGAGAAATGAATAAATAATTAGTGCCACGCCTTTTTTATAATGAAAGGAAATGGTGGTGTTTCCTCCATTTTTTCTGTTAATAAAACACGATTAATATACTAAGTGACATAAAATGCAACACCCAGAATTATTTATTGAATTTTGATAAAAACTTGTAAACATATTTGCTATCAGAGAAGTATACGCTGATAAAATGTTAAAGGCATTCCGAGCCGTACTTCTTTTTGTCGTATCAGGATCCGAACAATATAAACATGTTCACTTAATATTCAGTGATTTTTCTGTGTTGGTTCAATTTGTTTCATTGTTGTTGCTACTGTAATGAAATGTTGTCGAGCGTGGTTCCAAGGCCGAAATCGACGAGTTAGAGAGGTACTGGACGTCAAAGACAGCCGGGATTGATTTTCCACTAGGGCAGTTGCGAACCAGTGGTTTGATGCTGTCGGAACTGCAATAACAATGAGGGCAGTTTATCGCCGAATAAGGTATTTTGGAATGTTTCCATACCGTCCCCATCTGGTATTAGCATGGTATGGAGTAGGGAGAGACTTGAACGGAATATG